AAGATCGGGAGTTTCCTCTTGGCTGGCTTTGACTGCGCATCAGAGCACTCTCTCGCCACTGCCACCGTCGTTCGTGTACGGATGGAAGAATCCCACCGCACGTTTTTTATTGTTTCTTGCATTGATCACGGAAAGTGATAAACTCGGAGATATGGCGAAGATGATCGTGAGAAGGGTACATAGAAGAATGAAGCAGATCGCCAAATAAGCAAGGAGATAACCCCTAAAGACTTTGCATTCGATCTACGATTGCAATCGAATCTCAAATCTACGATTGCTCATTTTGATTGGCTTGGGTTTGGTTGTAATTGAAATCGGGTCTGGGTCATGGTTATTTGCTGTGTAATCGGGTTTAATTTGGTTTATAGGTGATTTAATTTTGTTTTGTAAACAGTGAACCGACTAAAACCAAGATATGTGGGGATATAGGTTTCGAACTATTATTTCGGAGATATATAGGTTTCGAACTTTCGATTCATGGAGATACAGAATAAGAAGTTTTGTTTTGGGGATCTCTAGCACGAGATTAAAGTTTGGGCTCTATCTGGTATGATATCATACTTCTCGTGGGGAAATAGACCGTTTTTCCGTGAAATTATCATGGTTTTAGGTAAAAATTATTAATTATTTTCTTAAAGTTTAAGTGTTAAATTTGTATAAAAGTTTAGTGAAAATCATTATTAGTTTTTAAAAATGAGTTTAAGTATTAAATCTATATTACGTGAAAACATGCCGAACTTCGAATACCAGAGCTTACGGACCAACTAAGGACAGGATGCCTAAGCGCGGTTAGCTTTCGACGTTTTTAAAATTGAACACTTAACCTAATTTTTAAAAAGTAATAGTGAAATTCACATGGTTTTAGTTAAAAATTATTCATTATTTTCTTAAAGTTTAAGTGTAAAATTTGTTTTAAATTTTAGTAAAAATCATTATTATTTTTTTTTTTTAAATGAGTTTAAGTGTTAAATCTATACTAGGTTAAAACCCGCGCTCTGCCGCGGGGTATTTTTCTTAAATTGTGTTTGAAATTAAGTAAATAGATAATTTTTAGGTATTTCAATCTCTAACACTTAAAAAAACTAATCTTATATCGTATAGAGTCATAGTCGATTACATATTCTTTTTTTAAGAGAAGCAAGAAGATTATTGTTCCACTGTATAATTTATAAGAAACTAATTTGAGTAGCGTTTTCTCGCTAATATTTATGTTAAAGAGTGAACAAGATATATGAAAAAATAATTTAAATATATGATTAAGTTTCAAGTTATGTGTGTAGGCAAATCCAAAACAAGCTTATTCTAGCTCTTGTAGAGGTTAGTAAAAGAGAAAAAAAGAAATTGAAATGAAATAGCTTATTAAAGCTTTATTTAGTGACAGAAACTAAAGGAGTGAAAAGAGCTTTAGATTGTCACCAAGATTAATCATACTTTCATTCAATCATAAAATGGAGAAGAAGGAGAGTTGCCTCTTTGATAACTCTTTAGGTTAGTCTCATTGTTCTCATTAAATAATTCTATATAAAAGACTACTTGCTTTGATAACATAATTACATAGAGAATGGGCATCTCACAAAACATAATCTTTGGGATTCTTGTGGCCCCTAATACTCTCCCGTACACTTGGCGTGGGGTAAAAGCAATACGACAAGTTTGAACTTGAGATGAAGATAACTTTGGCGTGAGGATGTATCGTTGGAACAAGACCTTTGTGATGTTAATGGATGGCTCTATTTACCACAGAGAACAAACATGAGTGTGAGATATATTCAGGCCTATACTTATAGAGAGTAGGGTGATTTAGGTGAATAACCAAAAAAAAAAGAAAAATTAGTTTTTTAGAAAGAAGGTAGAGAGAGATAGGAAGAGAAAGAGAGTGAATAGGGGGGTTAGAGGTTAGTTTCTTAATTATAGTATTTTTGTTGGTTAGTTTTACCAATTTCCCTAGAGAGTATCGCATGGCTGTCTCAGAGGTAATCTTGAACTTGGAAAGCTTAGTCGACCTCTCTCAAAATATTTACGACCTCTCTCAAAATATTTACGACCTCTTTGTCTCACTAAGAGCAACTCCAACGGATACTAAAACACTATAATTGGTGTGTTTTCATTTCCAATCGAACGGTATATCCCACACCAATTTTTTTTTTATTTGGTGTTTTATAAACAGTGTCACGCCATATTTTGTGTAACACTGTTCATAAAAAAACTAAAAGTTAAAATACTATTTTATTCATGTTTTTCATTTAGTAATATAAATAAATTATTGTTTATCAACTAAAAATAAAATATAACATAAATATTTATATTTTTCATTTTAAGAATATAAAATTTAGTTGTAAAGTAATATGAAATTTTACTTTGCACAAAATATCTAAATTGATACGTAAATTCATTAACTGAACACTTGTGATCCGAATATATTAATTTTGAAAAATATAAGATGTAATTTATTTACCGCTATTTTTTAATTTATTGATTGTAATATTTTTTTTTGCCATCACCGATTTTATTCTTATACTTAACTTATAATTAATCATTTCTAAGAATCATTAGTATTTATCAAACTTAAAAGTAAATAAAAAGAATTTTAAATTTAATAATACAATAATAATAATAAAAATAGTGTAAAATTTGTTGTTGTGTGGTTGGAGATAAAAAAACAAATTGGGACACTAAAAGCATCAAATTTAGTGTAATTTCAACACCAAATTTAGTGGTTGACGTTGCTCTACGAGTCCGGGTTTCTTTACCTACTTAACACTTCTAATTGGTCTCATGACGAAGAAAAGTACGTTATCTTCCCACAACTACTTAAGTCATACTTGCTACATGTGCTTCTCATCCATTAGCCAAAAAAAAATCTAATAATTTAATAACACGACAATTAGATTCGGTTTAATAACTAAACCAACTCATAATTTAATAACACCACAATGCCATTCACGATAGGTTCAATAACCAATGCCATTCACGATAGGTTCAATAACCTCAATTCCATCTCCACGAACCCATTAATAATAATAAACTAAGCAGCCACTTGGAGGAACACCAAAATGAACTCTAGATAATTAAGTTGGTTAATTTAATCAGTTACACAGAAGATTTCTTGGTTAGGCTTAATTTTATCGTCCACGTGAGTGTGATATGAATGGCAGTGTTTGTTTTCCAAGTAATTCAACAAAGTTTGACACTTTAAGTCTCTGTAGAAACTCAATTACAGTCTACTCTTTAAGTCGTCCTTTTGGCTGATACTCCCAGCTTCTTGTTATAAAACCTTGAGTTGGAAGCATTCCACTACCACAAATAACTCAATTTTCTTCAAGGTATGTCTCCTCTTACTCACATATAAAAATCTTGTGTGCGCTCATCAAAACCAGAAAATTGGAGCCATAAACCCATCCTTATCAAACCCAAGACAGTCCTACTTCATTCTAACTTCAAGAGTTCAATCCTATAATCTAAACCAGCCAGTAAAACCAGCAAATAAACGATAACCAGCATGATTCCAAGCCTATAACTCTAAACCGTTTGTTCCTCTTTGTGAAGCTATCACAAATCAGTGACATTTGTTCTGTCTTAGAAGAATATGCAGACTTGATACCTGATTCGTTTTGCTCGTTCTTCTCCTCAAAGCTTCTATACTTGCTTCTCTAATGATGAAATGTTGATTTCTACTCTGGAATTTCGTCGATCACTTGGTGTGCATTACAAAACAGACCCAAACCCAGATTTTCAATTAACTTGGGGATAACATCGATCCAACTCTGATCTCTTTGTTTACTGCTGCAAGCACCGTGGTTCTCATATATCTTTATCGCCGATGCTTAATTGTAGAAGATGCCAAGAAAGGAAGACCACCAGATCTAACTTTTGTCTGACATCTCTGTACAATTAACAAAAGAGGAGTTATCAATGATTTTCCGAACTCTGTTCGCCGTCTTTGAGTACTCATCGACAATCTCAAACACCTAATTGCCTCATATATATCTCGCGTTATGCAGCTCCTCTTTTCTTATTCTAGCGGCGATGATTTTGTGACAGAGAGAACAAAGAGAATGACGTGGAAGAAATAAAGTTGAGCTGTATTATTTAAAATGTTTTGATTGGACTTTGTTTTTAATGATGTGTCAGTTTTTGAGAACAGCTGAAAAAGCTGATGTGTAACCCAGGAGAGAAATCTGGTATTATTATTGTATTGATTACATGAAAACATGCCGAACTTCGAACACCAAAGCTTACAAACCAACTAAGGACAGGATGCCTAGGCGCAGTTAGTTTTCACATTTTTAATATTTAACACTTCAACTAATTATTTAAAAATAATAGTAAAATTAACATAGTTTTAGTTAAAAATTATTAATTAGTTTCTTAAAGTTTCAGCTTTAAATTTGTTTTAAAATTTATTGAAAATCATTATTATTTTTTAAAAATGAGTTTAAGTGTTAAATCTATATTACGTGAAAACATGCTGAACTTCGAACACCAAAGCTTACGGACCAACTAAGGACAGGATGCCTAGACGCGGTTAGTTTTCGACGTTTTTAATATTTAACACTTCAACTAATTTTTTTAAAAAATAATAGTGAAATTAACATAGTTTTAGTTAAAAATTATTAATTATTTTCTTAAAGTTTAAGCGTTAAATTTGTTTTAAAATTTAGTTAAAATTATTATTATTTTTTCAAAATGAGTTTAAGTGTTAAATCTATATTACGTGAAAACATGCTGAACTTTGAACACCAAAGCTTACTGTCACGGGCTTTTCTCAGAAGACCGTGCGGCGGTCGACAATCTCAGTATTGCCCGACCCATCCTTCCTACCATCGACCATCTCCGACTAGTTTCGCCCTGTCTTGGGCTCATCAGGTGATCGACTCTAGATCATGACCAGTTTGGACAGGGATGGCCTAATCCCCTCTTCTGAGTCTGATCCTCGATCAGCGACAGAGACTCAAACTCCACCTGAGTTGTTCAGTCTAATTCCAAAGGGACTCTCCAACCTGAGTCCTGCACGCCCCTCACTAAAGCACGTTCACCTGCCCTAGTGGAATGGTCCCACGGAAGCAACGCGACTGTCACGAACCGTCCCAAGAAAACGGGTCGTGACATTCTCCCCCACCCATCAATGTGCACGCCCTCGTGCACGAGAAGAATCCTCAAGATCGTACGTTGTGTTGTTGTGGGATAACTCTTACCCCCACTTCGAATTGATGACTTGACACCTCTGCCTTGGTCTTCATGGACACCTCGCCCTCGACCATTTCTACGCCACCGAACAAGGATCCCCTGCCTACCCGTCTCGTTACGGGCGCTAAGCGCAGACAACACACAACGTTCTTGGCTCTGATACCACATGTCACAGGCTTTTCTCAGAAGACCGTGCGGCGGTCGACAATCTCAGTATTGCCCCGACCCAGCCTTCCAACTATCGACCATCTCCGACTGGTTTCGCCCTGCCTTGTGTTCTGTCTAACTCCAAAGGGACTCTCTAACCTGAGTCCTGCACGCCCCTCACTGAAGCACGTTCACATGCCCCAGTGGAATGGCCCCACAGAAGCAACGCGATGTCACGAACCGTCCCAAGAAAACGGGTCGTGACATTACGGACCAACTAAGGACATGATGCTTAGGCGCGGTTAGTTTTTGACGTTTTTAATATTTAACACTTAAACTAATTTTTAAAAAATAATAGTGAAATTAACATAGTTTTAGTTAAAAATTATTAATTATTTTCTTAAAGTTTAAGTGTTAAATTTGTTTTAAATTTTTGTGTAAATTATTATTATTTTATATAAAAATTTAGTGAAAATCATCATAATAAATCTTATTTTTTAAAAATCAAAATTATTATGATTTTTGATTAAAAAAAAAAAAGGTAAGAAAGTAAAGATACCTGGGGGTTGTTCTGGAACGTGTTCACATATCTTGATGTACAAGTAATATACCTTGGCAATTTTCACTAGCTGATCCTGATTGGCATGGCCGTAGAAGAAAGGTTCCTTAAGGAATATCTAATATGGTGAATGAGGAAAAATTAGGTAATAATTAATTTCATATCTCAGAAAAAAAGCAAAGTCTTCCAAATGTTATTATGTCATGAACTCACCATCCCAGCAAACATACAACCAAGACTCCACATATCCAAAGAATAGTCATAGTCTTGCAAGTCCACGAGAAGTTCAGGTTCCCTTAAAGTACACATTAGGAGAGATAAACAAGATTATACTCTTTTCCAGGGTGGTAAAACTCAGCAAGACCCTAATCTATAAGACGAAGCTTACGCAGCTCATGGTCAATCATAACATTGTGAGGCTTCACTATACTTTCCACGCCCTACCTTCCGTACTACCTCATAATCATCTTGATCTCTGAGAGAGAGCAAAGAACAAGATCAAAACTTTAACAAAAACATGACTGCTTTACACCATAACAGAGGAACTATAAGCAAAACTCACCAATAGAGATAAAAGTAAAGTTTCTTCTTCAAACCCTAGAAGCATCAATTTCATCAAGAAGCAAGCTGAAATCAATTTCACTACAAACCCTAGAAAATCGATTATATTACTTTACCAACTACCAATTCAGCTAATTCTAGGGTTTAACAATCTTACCCCCGATTGAACAATGAGTGACTCGTAACCCCAATAATCCTTGGGTCGAATCACGTTGACGTCGGCATCGCTCGCGTCTGGATCATTGGATCGATCGTAGTACTACCGGAAACGTCGGAGGCAGAAGACGACAGAGGATTGCTTTCAATCTAACAACTCTTAAGGATCATGTTGCAGAGATCATAGTCATCGGGCTTTGACTTCTTCAATGTCTACTAGTTGGATCATCATTAGAATCTCCAGAGTTTCAAGAAGAAGAAGAGAGAGTTTTGATTTTTGTCTCGCAAAGTGTTTATTAGGTCAATTTTATATATACACAAGAGATTACATACAATAGAGCCGTTGGAGGCAATTATAATGTTTCCTTATATTTTAATACGAAATTGTGATCTCTTTCAATGGGCCCCAGATTCACTCGGTTTGACCTATTTAGAATCAAAAGCTTTTCTGCATCAAACTTTTAAGCAGAGAGAAAAAGAGAGAGAGATGGGTGTAACCAAGGAGCAAGTCGAAGCTTCGTTGACTTCGAAACTCAACCCTGTTCATCTGGTAACTCAACTAATACTCTCTCTTGTTCATGATCACATGCATCATGCATCCTCTGTTCTAAGACTGGATCATTGACTCACTTATGTGGTTTGTAATTTTAAGATGACAAACATTATAGCGGCAATCGTGTTTTTTTTTTATGAATAATAATTACTCTGCAGATTGCAATATATTAATATCATTCAACCATTACGCACTACGAATACAAACATATTATGTATTTTCTATACAAAGTAACACACGAGTACCAAATAATATATTACATTAATACGGTTAAGGACTTACTCCAAAACCTAAAGCCTTGAAGACTTCAACCGGATCAAGTCCAATACCACTTTCTTCAACTTTAGCCCAATCAATATACTTATCCACTGGGTCTACCTCATCTCTTGTGACAGATGACGATAAGTTGGTTTCACGAGAGGATGTTTCTTGAGTTTGGTTAGTGCTTGAATTTTGTAATGCATTGAGCTGGGCTCTAACCACTTCAAGAGTATTGTATGAAGGATATGAACTTATGTATGTATGGTGTGAAACAGATGCTGGTAAAGTGTCCTAAAAAAACCATAAAAATAATTTTTTCTATGAATATATGATGATATATTTATAAGGCCTATTTATAATTTCAAATCTGGTTGATGTGGTGAAAAATACCTGATCAAGAGGATCAATTGTTGGTGGTACCGGGGCCGATGAAAAAGTTGCATTACGATATGAGTCATGAATGACACAACTCTCGTTGAGCTGAAGTTGTTGTTGAGTTGGGATAGTGGATAAGCCAGGCATCGATTGTGACTCAATAGTCACATATGGATTGATAAAACCTTGAGCCATATCATAAGTTTGATTGTCGTTGAACTGTAGATTTTCTTGAGTTGGATGTATCGATGCCTCGTACATTGGAAATGTATTGCTTGCGTTTTGAGTAAACTCACTTAATGAAAGACAAGCCATATCGTCGTTGCAAAAATCTTCGACAGACGTGGTATTTTGTGGAATGATGATAGATGGTTGTTGTGAATAGTTCATTGTAAATGGATTTGTCTCTCCCTCGGAAAAATGGTATGAAAATGGTACGAACCATTGCTCTTGTTTATGTGAAGATGGTTGTTGTGATATAGTAGTTGATGTCGAAATATAGTTGTTGTGTTGACTAGGTAAAGTAGGAGTCACACTTGCCTTTAAATATTGTGTCTCGAACATATTGCGTTGATTTTCTACTGCAAAAGCCGTTTGCATTCTTTGTGCTTTGCGACATCTTTGTATACGTAAATCACTCTACAAAATAAATATAAATCACAAATGATATTACCATCACACATATATGTATTAATTAATGGAATACAAATTTTAAAAGTTTACCTTTATAAGGAGGTAGAGTGATCCTTGGACCTCTTCTTCTTTTCTTGGTTTTGGTTTTACAGCTCCCATAAATCTAGGTTTTCTACTCAATTTTATGTCAATATGTTCAAAACTCTCATAAGTACGATTAGTTTCTTATAGAATGAATAAATTTGAAAAAACTCTCATATGAATACAAATTTTTTTCTTACATGTTTACTTGTGGACGAGCTGAGTTTATTGGAGCACATGTTTTTCTTGTGTCACGAGCAGTTTTAAAACCTTGAGAAGCAAGTTAAAAGACAAGACATTAAGTTTTTTGGTTATTTTTCAGAACGAAAATATATGTTTTTTAAGATTATATATATGAAAATTAACAAAATATACATCTTTAAGTAATGCTCATGTTTTCTAACGCCGCGAGCAGTTTTCATAAAACCTTTAGAAACAAGATATAATAAAAGACAAGATGTTAATTTTTTTGGTACATTTTGTTTAACCGAAAAAATATTATATTGAGGTTATTTATATATATGAAAAAAAAATTAAAAATAAAACTAAATAACATTTATTTTTTATGATTTCCCATAACATAAATTAAAAATATGTCTAATATCTCTTATATTTTACTTAAAATATAAACTTTTTTATGTCTTAATCTGAGACCATAAAAAAGAAACATCAAAAAAAAATAATAAAATCAAAATTTATTAATAATGATCAACTGTGGTTTTTATATGTCATAATAACCATATTTTCCATGATATTAAGAAATATAGATTACAAAATATTGTTTAAGAACCCTAAGTAAAACCTTTTGATCAAGACTTATGTGTATAAGAACAACTTTTCTTATTACCTTTGAAACTAACTCAAAACAAAGGTCTCACACAATCTCTCAATCTTTACAACACAAACTCATAAACTTCTCATATCTCCTAATGTCATAACTCGACCTCTATTTATAGGAGGATACAATTCCTAACCCTAATAGGAATTACAACATATTAGATAACTCCTAATATATTCTAATATTATCTCTAATTATCCATAACTTGGTTATAAACAAAAGACTTCCTCTTCAAGTTATCTTCAATTCTTCAAGCTTATTCAACAATCTCCCTCTTAAGCTTGAAGTCTTTAATCCTCACATCTTGAACACCAATAAGATCCCTCATTTCTTTAAATCTGATTCTCCCAAGAGCCTTTGTAAGTATATCAGCTTTCTGAATTTCTCCGGGAACATGATCCACATCAACCAGTTCATTTTGAATGCACTCCCGAATGAAATGATATCTTTTGTGGATGTGTTTAATCCGGCCATGGAAAATTGGGTTCCTAGTAAGTGCTATAGCTGACTTATTGTCAATAAGAATCAGTACTTTATCACATTGTTCCTCAGTTACTTCATTCAAAAGTTCTTGGAGCCAAATTGCCTGCTTTGCAGCTTCAGTAGCTGCCATAAACTCAGCTTCACAGGACGAAAGTGCAACAGTCTCTTGTTTCTGTGAACACCATGTAATAGGACAGTTATTTAGATAGAAGATGTGACCCGTAGTACTTCTCCCATCATCTTCATCAACATTATGACTACTGTCGCTGAAACCTACTAACTCGGTTTTGCTTCCTCTGTTAAAACAGAGTCCATAAGACTGTGTTCCCTTTAAGTACCTAAGAACTTGTTTCAGAGCAGCTCCATGAGACTCCTTTGGTTCGTGCATGTACCTGCTTAAAACACCAACGCAATAAGAAAGATCTGGTCTTGTATGGAGTAAGTATCTAAGACAGCCAATACTCCTCCTGTATTCTTTCTCATCAATACTTTTCTCTTCAAGTGCTTTACTTAGCTTCAGATTAGCACACATTGGTACATGAACTGCATTGCAGTCTCCAAATCCTGTTTCTTCAAGAATCTTCTTTGCATATCTTTCTTGATTTATCATGATACCATCCTTAGTCTGAGTAACTTCAATGCCAAGATAATAGGTAAGCTTTCCTAGATCACTCATCTCAAATTTTCTTGACATACCCCTTTTGAATTCTAGTATCATCTCTAAATTTGATCCTGTAACCAGTAAGTCATCCACATAGACTGCAACAACAAGAAGCTCCTCTGACTCTTTTTTCTGATATATAGATGGCTCCTTTGAACATTTAACAAAATTCAATTCTAAGAGAATTGTATTTAGCTTGGTGTTCCATGCTCTTGGAGCCTGCTTAAGTCCATATAGGGCTTTGTTCAACTTATACACTTTACTTTGACTTTCTTCATTTATAAAACCTTCAGGTTGTGAGACATAGACTATTTCCTTTAGTTCACCGTGAAGAAACGCCGTTTTTACATCCAAATGATGTATTTCCCAACCATTAGAAGCTGCTAAGGCAATGATGAAACGAATGGTTTCAATACGGGCTACTGGTGCAAATACTTCGTCGAAGTCAATCCCATGTCTTTGTACATATCCTTTTGCAACAAGTCTCGCTTTGTACTTGTTTATGCTACCATATGAGTTCCTTTTAATCTTAAAGACCCATTTTAGACAAAGAATGGAGATCAAAGAGTTCTACATGACGTTTACTATATTCCAGATTTTAAAAGTAACATAGTGAGTCTTGGTCAAGCTACTGAATCAGGTTGTGATGTTAGAATGAAAGAAGACTATCTGACCCTTTATGATAAAGAGGGAAAGCTTCTTGTCAAAGCTCAAAGGTCTAGAAATCGTCTTTACAAAGTAAATTTGAAAGTTGAAAATGCTAAGTGTCTGCAGATTGGAATCTCAAATGTTTCATCAAAGTGGCATGCCAGGTTAGGACATATTGGAACAGAGACCCTGAAAACAATGGTAGAAAAAGAACTTGTTTTCGGCATACCACATATTAAAGTTGAGAAGGATATATGTTCTTCATGTCTACTTGGGAAACAAGCAAGGCAATCCTTTCCACAAGCAACATCATTCAGAGCAAAGAAGATTCTTGAACTAGTTCATGGGGATCTCTGTGGACCCATAACACCCTCTACACCATCAAGAAACAGATACATCTTTGTCCTCATTGATGATTGCTCACGGTACATGTGGACACTTCTTTTAAAAGAAAAGGGAGAAGCCTTTAATAAATTCAAAATCTTCAAAGCAAGTGTTGAACAGGAAACTAAGACAAGTATTAAGACATTTCGAACTGACAGGGGAGGAGAGTTTCTTTCAGCTGAATTTCAAACATTTTGCGATGTTTCAGGTATACAGAGACATTTAACTGCACCATACTCTCCTCAACAAAACAGAGTCGTCGAGAGGAGAAACAGAACATTAATGGGAATGACGAGAAGCATCTTGAAACATATGAATGTTCCAAACTACTTATGGGGAGAAGCTGTCAGACATGCTACATACATCATTAACAGGGTCTCAACTAGAACTCTGATAAATCAAACTCCTTATGAAGCATTCAAGAAGAGAAAACCAAATATAGAACATTTAAGGATTTTTGGATGCATAGGATATGCAAAGTCAGAAGCTGTGAATCTCAAAAAGCTTGATGATCGATCAAGAATGCTAGTGCATTTGGGAACTGAACCAGGATCAAAAGCATATCGCCTACTTGATCCAACAAAACGAAAGATAATAGTAAGCAGAGATGTTGTATTTGACGAAGACTCAAGCAGGAAATGGAATAATGTTGAGAAAGATACTAATTTTGAAATCAGTTTTGGTGAATTTGGAAATAATGGTATAAGAAAAACTGCAGTTGACAGAGAAGCAGAAAACAATGGGGATGATGAGAGTAATGAACAAATGGAAGAACATGTTTCACCTGCTAGAAACTCTGAAACTACAGAACAAAGCCAACCAAAGCTAAGAAGATCAGAAAGAGAAATTAAGAAGCATGCATATCTAGAAGATTATGTCTTATTAGCAGAATATGAATGTGAAAGACTCTTGCTTTCTATCAATGAAGAACCATGGGACTACAATGAGGCAAAAGATTCTAAAGAATGGAGAGATGCATGTGTAGAAGAGATCACTTCCATAGAGAAAAACAGAACATGGGACTTGGTGGATCTTCCTGTAGGTGCAAAAGCAATAGGTCTAAAATGGGTTTTTAAATCTGGAATATAGTAAACGTCATGTAGAACTCTTTGATCTCCATTCTTTGCAACAAAAGTGATTGAACCCTTTCCCTTGATGTCAATACGTGAATCATCCCCGAATTTTACTTTACCTGAGATCGATTCATCAAGCTTGCAGAAATAAGCCAATATTCCTGTCATGTGATTGCTGGCTCCATTATCTAAGTACCAGATGTTCTCATTGTCTGAACTAGGTTCAAATGTACTTGGAACACAATTTCTTTCATTCAAGTAAACGACCTCATGCATCATTAAAGCATCAGCTTCTTGTGTATCACCATTCTTTGATGTATTTGTTTCTTGTGCTTCTTGAAGCTTAAGAAGCCTATCAGGACAGTCTGATGCGTAGTGACCCAGTTTGTCACATCTGTAACATGTTATCTTACTTGTATCTCTGTTTTGTTGATAGCTATTGTTTTGATTATTACTGAAACGGCCTCTTCCTCTACCTCGTCTGCCACCTTGGCCTCTTCCTCTATTAGTATACCATGTTTGTGTTTCAGAGTTGACATACATCAATTTGCCTTGATCTTCCTGATTGTCTTCTTCATCACAGATTCTTTCTTCATAGGCTTTTAATCTACCAACTATATCTTCAAAACTTGTTGAATTTAGGTCAAGAACTTGTTCAAGAGCGGCTATTATATGTATATATCTTTTCCTTGGCAAACCATTCAAGAATTTCTTAACAAGTTTTGGTTCTTCAATATCATGTCCAAGTGATGCTGCCTTAGTCTGTAATTCTGAGAGTCTTCCCGCAAAATCATCTATTTTTTCGGTTTCTTTCATCTTAATTCTCTCAAAATCACCCATTAGGGTTTGTAATCTTGCATCTTTAACCCTATCAGCTCCTAGATTCCTAGATTTAATTGCATCCCATATCTTCTTTGCAGTGTTTAGTTTCCCGACTTGCACACTACAAGAAAACACGGTATTAGCGACTTAATTCGGCGACTGAATATGTAGTCGTTAAATTTGGCGACTAATTAGGGACGTATTAGCGACTAAGTAGTCTATATTAAACATTAGTCGCTAATCAGTCTTTAATGTGAGACTGATTAACGTAGTCGCTAATAGGTCGCCAGTTACAGCTACTATTTAGCGACTCATTTATTTTATTTGGGCAATTAATTGGGATTTTACGGGCTTGATCCAGTAATTTTAGCCCATTAAGCCAGAGTATATAAACTCGGAGTCGCGAAACCCTAACCCTAATCCCCTTTTCTTCTCTCTCGACGAACCCGATGAACCCTAACCCTATTCCCCTTTCCTTCTCTCTCGATTCGATCCTAATTCTTCATCAATCCTCTCAATCTCTCCATTGAACGCTTGAATGATGAAGACTCGTGGTGGAAAAGGCAAGAGAGGAAGGGGATCGAAGATTCCCCCCCAAAATCGACCCACTTCTTCCCAGCCTGTACGAGTTGAATCGAAGACCTTGAATCGAAGACCTAGGGGTCTTCCCAGCCAGTACGAGTTCACGCCGGCGAATCGTCAAGCCCCACTTCAAGATTCTGAACAAGAGCCGATTGCACAACCTCCAACGGGTCCAACCATCAGGGACTATCCTCCTCCGACGCAACTTTTCCAGTCAGGCGAAGGATCTCCTCGTGGATCTGGCTCGACTCCATTTCGAGCATCCGGATCGACTCAACCTAGATCTGGAGGATCTGTTCATCGTCTAGCCTCCAATCAGTCTCCAGCGCCGGTTCAACGGGAAGCTTACAATCAGTCTCCAGCTCCGGTTCAACGGGAAGCCTCCAATCAGTCTCCAGCGCCGGTTCAACCGGAAGCCTCCAATCCTCCACCTCGGCAGGCGTCAAATCCTCCACCTCGAGCCTCTGTATCACATCACAGCTCTCAAGCTCAAAACTCACATGCGGAAGAAGATGAAGATGAGGAAGCTGAGGCTGATTATGAAAGGGAATCAACTCTCCCTGAAGATTCGCTTGCTACTCTCCATGAGTTGCTTCTCCGGCCAGGACGTGAGAAGTTTACAACGGTCATCTCTCCCACATTTGAGCCTGAAACCTATTGGTAAGCTGAGTAGATTAGGTTTAGGGTTAATATTGAGTAATGTGTGTGTGTATCTGCTAAGTAGATTAGGTGTGTATATGGTAAGCTGAGTATATTAGGTTTAGGGTTAATATTGAGTAATATGTGTGTGTATGGTAAGCTGAGTAGATTAGGATTATGTGTGTATAAAGCTTGCTAATTGGTTTATGTAATTGTAGGTTTGGTCACGACAATGGTAAGCTGACCCGGAAGATCACAAAGGTATTCACAAACAAGTTTAATGGGCCATATTACAATTGGAGCTGTGTACCTACTGAAAGAAGACACAAATACTTCCTCGAATTCGCGGTAAATTAACTTCTATTGTCTGTATCCATTTGGTTTGGTTTGGTTGTTTGATCACTAACATCAAACTCTCCTCTTGTTTTGTAGAAAACACACACATGGCATCCATCACTGACCGGTGTAATTGAAGAGAAATTCTACAAAATATGTCAGCTGCGTATGAAGGACATGGTTTCTAAGGCTTGCTCAAAACGAGCCACTGAGAGACCGCCATGGATTGAGAAGACATTGTGGAAGGAAATGTGTGAGTATTGGGACACAGAAGAAGCACTTGCCAAGAGTTCAACCACATCAGCAGCTCGAATGTCTGACCGTAATTGTCTTGGTCCTCACAAGCATGTATCGGGGCCAAAGTCTTTCTTACAAATCGAGCAAGAGATGGTAAGTTACATCAAGCACTCTTGTTTATTTACATAATGGTTTTCCTTAAGAATTTGAATTTTTTTGTGAACAACATTTCAGGAAATTGAGCTGGGAAGACCACCTACTATTGGTGAGATATTCATTAGGACTCATACCTAAAAAGATGGGAGTTTTGTTGATAGGAAGGCGCAGGAAATTCATGAGGCATATTTGAAGAACAAGGAAGCTAAGTTGGCTGCCCTTGTGAATGATGAAGGGTCTGATGGTACATCCCGTCGATCAGAACTATCTCAAGAGGAGGATGATGAGATCTTCCTTCTGGTAATGTGGTTGATCCTCTTTTTTTTTATTATTATCACTTACTTCATCTTTTAAGAACTAATCCTCTTGTCTTTTTTTTTGCAGTCAACTGTCACAAACGAGAGAGGGGTATACTTCGGAATGGGAAGCTTAGGGAGGTACATCAATGGGAAGCGGAAGTACCCAGGAAGCAGTTCTGCTTTCACTTCCTTGCAGTCACAGCTTGAGGAAGCCAACCGCAAGATAGAAGGACAAGCGACTCTCCAAGCACATCGGGAGGCAGAGGCATTGCGGGTGAAAGCTGAGCAAGCAGAGATCAAGCGTGTTGCTAATGAGCAACAAGCAGAGATCAAAAACTTGAGGACGGTGAAGAAGTACTTGACCGAAACTGACCCCAAGTTTCTCGCCTTTCTCGAGTCTGCTTCAGAAGATCAAACAGAAGAGTTCCAGACTGCTAATGCTTCACAAGATCAAGCCTAGGAGTGAACATCTCATCTCCCCTTCCTTTAGTTGCTTTTCTTGTCTAAACTTAAAAACTTGATATTATGTAGCTTGAATATTATGTTGTGAACATGTTTGAATTATGTTGTGTGTTTGAATCAAGGTTCTTTGTTTGTTAAATATAGTTTTTTAAATTTAGGATTCCATAAATTAGAATGTAAAATTGATAATTAAACTTGTAATCAGTCGTCAATTAGTTGCATTTCAGTCACCAATACTTAAACTAAACAGACGCCATATGGTGGCAAAACAGTCGTTATATCAGTCACCAAATAGTCGCCAAAGAGTCACTATGTAGTGGCAATAATGTCTCCAAACAGTCGCTAATTTGGCGACTGTTAGGCGACTAAATAACGGCACATAATTTAGTAGTTATTCAGTCGCTAAATGGCGACTGTTTGGCAACTCATAAATTTAGCGACGCAAGGTTTACCGACTACGTGTTTTAGTCGCCAAACTGTCGTCCTAATAGGTTTAGCGACTACTACGCTACTTAATGTGTGGTCGCTAATTACATGTTTTCTTGTAGTGCGCAGTGTTAATGCTTCAGGGATAGATTGCAGAAGAAGAGCACTGGCCATGTTGTTCTTGTCAATATCCTCTGATCCAGGTTCTATAGCGTCCCAAACTTTATGAACCTTTAGAGCCATCGTCATACGTATAGTCCAGAACGTATAGTTTGTTGTGGTTAGCATCGGACACTTAATAGAGGATGAATTACCTCCTTCCTTGATACCCGTACCTGTCGGGATTAGTTCTCCCATCGTGACTTCAAATACCAAGAAACAATAGCTCTGTTTCTTCTGGTGTCAGAGCAATAGCTCTGTTTCTTCTGGTGTCAGAGCAATAGCTCTGTTTCTTCTTCGATTAGGGTTGTGATTCAATAGTTGGCTCTGATACCAATTATTGTTTAAGAACCCTAAGTAAAACCTTTTGATCAAGACTTATGTGTATAAGAACAACTTTTCTTATTACCTTTGAAACTAACTCAAAACAAAGGTCTCACACAATCTCTCAATCTTTACAACACAAACTCATAAACTTCTCATATCTCCTAATGTCATAACTCGACCTCTATTTATAGGAGGATACAATTCCTAACCCTAATAGGAATTACAACATATTAGATAACTCCTAATATATTCTAATATTATCTCTAATTATCCATAACTTGGTTATAAACAAAAGACTTCCTCTTCAAGTTATCTTCAATTCTTCAAGCTTATTCAACACAAAAGTCATAAAATATATTTTATAATATTTTATATCATAATAAAATATTTTATATCATATAAAGTTCTCTTTTTATTCATCATTTAAAAATACTCGAAATTAATTTTCGATTGAATAATATCAAATAAATGACAATTAAGAGAATGAAGCTGGACATACGTCTAATATATTGATTTGTTCCATCCCGTATGTTACACTTTCCAAGTCTAAATTTCTGGAAAGATAAGAAGACTTAAACATTAATTAAATAAATCATTAGCACTAAAATTTCATTTTGACTCGTACGAAAAATATAAGAACATAAATAATTACCTGAAGATGACTCTTCACATGGTGAAGTGCAATTCCTTCAACTTCCATTGTCTCTTTAACACTTTTTGGCGTTGCTTCTGCAAAAAACAGGAATATTTGTGAAATAAGCTCACTAATAATGCCACAATTGTTTTGGATGTTTTAGCCCTAGAATGTGTAAGAGTGAACCATTCAACCATACATGTTTTTACTCCATCGTGTAACCAAAAAATAAATCGTTACCAGTACGTGATTCTATTTTTTTCAAAACAATATGAATGCAATGACGCGTGTTAACATTATGCTAATAATAATTTTATATCAATTATAAACGACAAAATAATGATTGATCACATAACGAAAAATCCAAAATAAATATATACGAACGCATAAAATTCGCCGCAAAGAAAATGTTGGATAAGTCATAAACATTCCAATTTTGTTGCTAATACAAAAAAAAAATTAACATCATGATTAACGACTAAAATATCTAAAATTTCACCAATAAAAATTAAAAGTTTATGTAAACAAAATAGGGTTAAAATGTTCAATTTTTAAAATAACAAACGTATTCAAAAAGAACATATGTAAAAATACTTGATATCATTTAAACTTCTAAAAAAAATTAATCATGCCTTATTCCGGTAATAACCAAAAAGTGTTAAAAATAAATACTAAAATGATCTATATGTATCAAATGCTTTAAGTCACCTTATCTTGAATCGCATAAATACCTCATAAAACCAAAAGATCTTACCTCTTCCTTATGACCATTGAAAAAGGATCCTAGGTAAATAAAACTAAAGATAAAGTAAAGACCAACCATAAATAAAAATTTGTTTATGACTCTTATGCAAGAACATGAAAAAAAAACATAAATATTATTTGTTTATGACTGTTATATGCAAGAACAAAAAAAAAATCACGTACATATTGCTAAATTTATGCAAGCTAATCGAATATAATCTAAAAACACAAAAATTGTTGTAGCTTTTATCTTCTTTTTCATCCTAAGAATATATCTTAAGATCGATGAAATATAACTTACTTTTCTTTTTTTAATATAAACTTTTATATCCATGTAACTGATGATCACAAATCTATAAAGATTGATTTCATCATAGATTACATGGATACATGTATTCATAAAAAAAGTCATTTAATCCAAAGAAAATAAGGAAACCATGAGAAATGTATAATTTTATGATAGATAAAACATGCAATGTTAAAGTAGATCAATATAAGTGAAGAATGAAGAACTCATGAAATATAAACTAGTAGGAAGTAAGAATTTAGGTTACTAACTGTCAGGTCCACCAAGTTTTTCCACAGCAGTAACAAAGCAATCGTGAAGGTCTCTTGACCACCGCAATCGTGCCTTTTCATCAGATGTGTAGAAAATGCATGGCGTGATCTTTGAAGATGAACCATTTCCTTCTTCAATACCAACTTTCTGAGCATTGTCTTTCTTAGATTTTTGTAAATTTTCTTTATATGTCTCCTTATTACTTGTAGATTTTTGTAGAATTACCTCTATTTCTTGCTCACTTAAAAGCATTGAGACCTTTTTTGTATGATCAAAATGATCAAGATGGTGAATAGAAGTGCTAGGATTTTCTTCGAAAGTGACAATTTCTTTTCCTTTTTCTTTCTTCTTCATCTCTTGTGAACTCTTTCTAGCTTCTTAATCAATGAGTTCTTTTTTTTTTTTTTTTCTTTCGGTGTGATTTGTTTTCAAGTTAGAGTGGTTGAGAGCATTATAGGAAAAAAAAAGAAAAAAAAAAAGAAAACTAAATATAACCATGATATAAAGAAGGAAAATAAACTTTTTTAAAATCTCCAAAACAAAAGATTCAAGGTTCAAGAGTTAAGGTAACAAATGTATTCACATGGAAGGAGATAATTGGATTGTGATTTTTTAACTCACACAACACAAGCAGATCAAAAAAAGTTGGGACCTACCATTTAAATATGGTTACATACTCATCTCAGAGAATGACAAAGATGTTATAAATTAAAAGTTAGAAGAAGCCAAGAGATATTGAAAACGGCCGGCTAGAAACTTGCCTTTCTTTTTTTTGATGAGAATATTGATATTGACAATATTCAAATTTTTTCTTTGAACTTTGCTTAAACAAAGATTAGGAGAAACCACCATATAAAATGTGTATCCATGTGTATATAACATTAGTTATTTGAAAATCTTTTTCATTATTTATAAATGTTATAATATTTTGAAATAGAAAAAAAAATATAAAAAAATTGCAGCAATTTACTAAAATAAGCAATATGTAAATTAAATATAAGCAACAAATTAAATATAGTATCATATGTTTACGAAAACTATAATTTAATAAATTGTGCTAATTATGTCGTTATATCTTCATCTAAACTAAGAAGATAAATCATATATAGACTGTATACCGCATAACCTATTATTTATATAAATAAATTCAGTGTATTATATATCTTACTGAAACAAGTTTTATATGCCCTGAAGTGATGAAAAACTATTTGAGCAGAATATATTTATTCTAAATATGGTGTTATCTAGTTAGATGAATTTAAATTTAGCTTTCAGTTATACATGTTGATATTGTTTTGGATGCTGCTAGTAGATTTTTTTGTTTGTTTATTAAATGTTTATGTTTATTACAAAACAATGACTAAATTACAAAGTACTAAACTACTAAACTATCAATTGAACTCTTATCATAAATATAAAAATGCATATTATATCTTTATTTTTATTTTTCTTGTCTAATAGTAATTTTATTTGTGCAAATATGTATAGTACTTTATATGCATAAAATAAAAAATTAATGAAAGACTTTAAAGAAGAACAACACAAAATTGCTGACTAAATCACCTTTAATTGTAACAACTTTTATGCTTCTTTATGCTTCTTTATACTTAATGCATGCAGAAAAAACAACTTTACAAAATTGATTTTTCTCTATATTTTTTTCTACTGTCGCTAGGTTTTAAATATCATTGTAAAGTTACTTTAAAACCTTTATTTTATTGAATACATGGTTATTGTTGCCCCCAAGAAACGAAAGAATATGCATGGTTATCATAATTCAAAAAGAAAAAATATTTAAGAAAAATAGATATGTCGTGTCGTGAAAATCATATTTTTCCTTCTTTTTTTGACATTTATTTAAGAAAAATTATCCACATGTTTTTCTTTCTTTTTTTTGTCTTAATCAACGTGCTCAATACTTTTTTTTTGGTCTTTTTGTATAAGTTTTTGATTAGGAAAAAGTAGTTTGTAACGGTTATAACTTTTTGTATTTTTAAAATATTTTATTGTATTGATCTAATGTGTCATTTGGAAGTGATGTAAAAAACGAATTGGAAGCTTATGGATGCAACGTCATACCGCGATTTGTAACTTTAATATATAGTTTTTTTTTTTTTTTTGTCAACTCTTTAATATATAGGATTTTAGATTTATATATATGGAGACATTAGAAAAAGCACATGAATCAAAGATTTTGACATATGGTGTATAAATGATGAATATTTTTTCACTCCACGAGGTTTTTTTTTTACTAAATATTAAATGTACAGGTTGTTTGTACCTCGGTTGCAACAATAATAATATACGAGATTTTGGGGGTGAACGGAGCTAGTCCTTTTATTAACGATATAAGCGATCAAGAGATTACATAATATAAGTTTCGCCGCGGCGGTTATAGACTATCCGCCGAGCCAAACACTTAACGTACGAAACAGAGAGACAGAATACGAAAACGAGCGAAGCGGCGAAACTCGGGCTAGGCGACGATGTCGGGCTAGGCAACGATTTCGGGCTAGGACACGATTCTTCTTGTCTGCTGGTTAATAACCTTTGGATCGGATCCTGTTCCCAATAGTGTTTCTTGCTATTTATAGGGAGTCTAAACCCTAAAATTCCTTCTGTCTCCTCTGTAAATGACGTTTTTGCCCCACCAAGCTTAATGGACCCTTTAAGCTTGTGGATCTGTTTTGGGCGTCCTAACATATAAGGGGCAAGGCCCATGTCCAACAATAAGCCCCCCCTTAGTCCGTCGTGCGAGAGTTTGCTTGAGCTTGGCGGGCATGTCTTCGAGGTTGAAATATGTTAGTCGGGCGCAAAACAGAGAATGACTTGAGTGACTTATCTAATGGCTTCCGCCCATTTTTCGTGGTGAGCCGGAACTTTCTTGGATAAGTGGTGCCATGGGCACGTTTCTCTTGGTGAACCAGACCTTCATAGGAGATTTATGATTTCGACATGTTTTCCGCGGCGAGCCAGAGCTTTCCCGGGTGAACAGTGACTTCAATACGTTTTTCGAGGCACACCGAAACTTTTCTGGGTAAACAATAATTTCGGCACGGTTTCCGAGGAGCACCGAAACTTTTCAGGGTGAACAGTAATGTCGGCACATTTTCCGAGGCACACAAAAACTTTCTCGGGTGAATAGTAACTTTGGCACGTTTTTCGAGGCGCACCAAAACTTTCCCAGGTGAACAGTAATTTCGACATGTTTTTCGAGGCAAACCGAAACTTTCTTGAGAGATTCGTGACATTGACACGTTTTTTGAGGTGAACCGGAGCTTTCCCGAGGGCGCACGGTGTTGGGACTCTTCTCGAGGCGAGCCAAGTTGTGCATCCAGGAAATGAGGTCAACAATTTTACCTCGGTAAATGTGCATGTCTCCTCCCTATAAATATGTCTTCTTCTCCTCATTTTAACATTTCCTCACCAAAAAGGTGAATTTCCCTCATAGAGGAATTATGCCTTGCCGGAGGAGTTATGCCTCGCCGGAGGAGTTATGCCTAGCCGGGGGACTTATGCCGCGGTCGGTGTGGATGTAGGATTCACACACTCAAGTATTTTTATTAGTAGGAAAGATTATTCTTGAGGGACCAAAAATAAGAACGTAAAAGGCTTATGAATTGCTATCGTATTTCTTGCTCAAGAGAGAGATCCCCTTTACATGGCCATTGACCTCCATACTTATACATAGAAAAATGACATTTAAATGGCTAATTAAGTACAATTATTCTCTCTTAAATGTGTCCGTCTTGATTCTTTGACTTTAATGCTCAACGTTTAAATTTGAGTTGACTCTGGTCTTTATGGGCCTCGCCTTTTGGCCCAAGTGTCCTTGAACCGACTTACCCGTGTCTTCTACACCGAACTCATGTCGAAGCGCAATCACTTCGGATTCTCGAAGTGGTGATAACCACTTCGACCGTTCCTTCGGCTCACGGGTCCAATGGGCTTTATCCTTTATGGGCCATTATCTTGTCTTCGTGGCAATCTTTGGTTGGTCTCGGACTTCTGGTGCGGGATCCGACACCAACAATTAGCCCCCCAAGTTCTTCGAAGTGCTATTCCAATTCGGAGGACTTTAAATGCTTTAATGACCAAAGATTGCGTTCCGAGGAATCTTCTGATTTCTTCCCGCCAAGATCCCATCAGTCCTTTAATTTCGGCGCTACCCATATTTAGTCGCGTGACATCTGTCACCATTATGACCGTATCTTAATTATTTTCTATTAAAGCGGGAAACCTTTCCACTTCCCCCACGATTCCCAAGGCGGTTTCATCATTATCACTTAGCTTTCGTGAGGTAACTTCTTTCATCATCACTTTTACTCTTACGCTTTAATCGAAAACTTTCTCTTCTCTTTCTTCGCCGATTTTCTCTTTGCCGGATTTTAAATTTCTCATATTCTCCGATGACTTCTGATTCCGAAAGACCCGAGTCTCCATCCTTTGAAGGTGGCTCCAGTAATGACGAATGCACTCGTCCTAACGACATAGCTGGTCCACACTACAGATCCACATTTACCCTTCAATCCTTAGAGCGATTAAAAGGGCTTTGACAGATTCCCCCTGGAATCATAGCGGAAGCGCAGATAGCCGACCCTACGGAATTCCCGGAAAATCATCGCGACGGCTACTTTTGCGTTTATGAAATCTATTTCAAGGGCTGCGGATTGACCTTCCCTCTTCCTGAAGCCCTGGTTCGATACTTGGCGGCTCTTGAGATCGCTTTACCTCAGCTAACCCCCAATCTTCTCCGAACCATCCTCGGGATCATAACCGTTGCGGCGGAAGCAGACTACATTATTGGGGTCCCCGAGCTGAACGAGCTTCTGAGCGTGAGAAGTTCGTCAAAGAAGACCTTGTAACGACGAGGGTTTCTTTGTTGTCTTGAATGCTTCGCTCCGAAATGCATTCCACTGGAATAACTCTTTTCAACTCAGGATCTGATGTTGACGCCAATGCGGCGAGCGCGTCTGCAGTTGTATTCTCTCCTCGAGGTATGCGGATTAATTCAAATTTCGAGAAATTTTTAGATAAATCCTTTACCACTTCGAGGTACGCTTCCATTCTCGAATCTTTGGTTTCATAGTCTCCATTAAATTGGTTAACTACTAATTGCGAATCGCAATAAGCCAATATTTCCTTAGCTCCAACTCCTTGTGCTAATCGAAGTCCGGCAATCAGGGCTTCGTATTCTGCCTCGTTGTTGGAGGCATTGAATAGCAACCGGAATGATTGTTCTAGAATTTCTGACGTTGGAGACTCCAACTTGATTCCCACTCCGGATCCTTGTTTTGTTGAAGACCCATCTACGTGTAATTTCCAAGTTTGGTTCTCCGATTGTTCTATCGTTC